CTATCCACTGTGAAAGTATTCCACACAACTCGTCTACTATTATCCATTCTTTTATACTGGTTACCCTTACACTCCCTCCAATATATTTAACTACCCCTTCACAATTTGCTTCAAAATGTCCACCAACATGCACGTAACAGAACAACTCTTTCCCACAGCTTTTTTTGTTATTGAAATTCATTTTTCATACTAATCTGCAGGAAAAATTTACGTTTAGTCAGTACGTCAGTTTCACTAATAAATATTTACACATTTATTCTATCAACTCAATCATTTATATACCAAAATAAAAACCTGCGACCTCCTGTCTTCCCAACATCACTTTAGGGCTTCACAACTTCACTTTAGGGCCTCACAACTTCAACACCTAAAATCATGACATCGTCATTCCCTCCTTCCGCGGCAACACCTCAACCTTCACAGTCAAACTAACGGCCATTATCCCACCCACACTCTGCCAAACCACTACACTCCTTACCCTTCCCCATCACAACCAGCACCATGCACTGCAAATGAGAGATGGCCAATCACACTACAAAAACAAAAAATATCCCACCTCCAACTAACCACAACCTCCTACATTGTGATATCTTTCATCTTCAACTACACCTCCCATTCCCTCCCTTCCTCCAACCTACGTACCCACACAGTAGAGATGAAGATGAAGAATATCACAATGTGCAACTCTTACAGGAAAGAATAGAAGAAGAGTTTAGTCAGTAAGTTACTCGCATCATTACCAATGTTGGAAGATCTTCCATCCCAATATCACACAAACACGTTGGGGTCTTTCTTCTCCAACAGCTCTCCCGCCATGCATAAAAATCCTTGTCTCTACCTTCATTAAGAGTCAGGATGAGTGAGGGGTATTTCAACCATTTAACACACATTTCATAATTGCAATTTGACTAGGTCCTCTACAGCTATTTTTCAAATCCAGGATCCCTAATTGCTATTTTATATATTGGGGGTCTTTATTTACAATTTTCCCAAACATTTATGTATTAAACCCATTAAGAAAAGACAGAAATATTAACTTCATTTCGATCTGTTCGTCTAAAACTCTTTGATCGAATTGGTCAAGGAACTACTTTACCAGTTCATCACTAGTTCTGGTTCAAACTGAGTATTCCTCCAATTTTTAATATGAGACTTAATTAACTAATTTGAGTATATTAAAAATGTTAGTTAAATTATTTAATATGATATGTTTTTTCTAAAACATTCTAAGTATCATTCTTAATTCCTTCCCTCCCTCCCTTACTTGATTATTGTTAGGAAAATATCAATATGGTTAATTTAGGAAAAAAATTGATAAACATGTAAAATAAGTCTTATATATAGGACTAACATGAATTTTCTAATTAGCTCTTCTATTAAGGACTAGAGGAATATCTTTTATTTATTTATTGGCAAATAAAAAATATTTTATTTATATAATTTGATTAATTTGTCCTTTTTTTAATGATTATGTTGCTATATCTAGATTATTACTAATATTATGGTGATTGTCTTTTCTTTTATAATCGTGAAGAAGACTTAATTTAATTCTTAATAATTATTAAACGTGCTGAAATATACAACGTTGATTCTTTATTATTGGGTCAATTCCAATTTCCCAACTAGCATAAGAATTCAAAAGAATGGTAGGAAGACCAAAGCTCAAGTGCTGTAAATTGAAAAAGAGAAACTACAATTCACAAGTCAACTTGAGACTATAATCATATTATTACAATTGAACTAGTTTAAATTCTTTATTTAAAGATGTGTTTAATCAAAAGTTTTCCATGAATTTTACTTTCCAATATTCATAATGTCACATAAAATCTTTGCATTTTCTAACAAGATTAAGTTATATTGTTAAGCAATTTTAATTAAATTATCATTGTGGGATGAGCCTGTGACACTAACCTAGCAGGAATAGTAGATACCAATATTTATTATTTTTTGTCCAAGATATCAATACTTATTATAGTAATCAACATTACGTAGTTGAATTTCTACTTCAGCTTAATAATTACTCCTTTGGTTTTCAACATAAGAGCTCCTTAATTAATTTAGAAAATAAAAAAAGCTAAATAAATTACTTAATTTTAAGAAAATTGACATGATCTCTCTAAAATACCTCAATGTAAGATTAAACTACTCCTCTGGTTCTATTTATAGGATATTTTTAGCATGTTTCACATAAATGAAGGAAAACCTTAAACTGTATTAACTCTCCCTTAAAATATAACAACTTTTTAACTTTACCTCTATTTAATAGATACACCTTGTAAAGAAATAACTATCTCCACTATAATAAATGACGAACAAAATAGCACATATTCATACTAAAAATTTAATGAAATGGCTTAAAAATATGACCAAATACTATCTCTGCCTTATAAATTAGCACCAGAGGTATCAATTTAAGTTAAACAAATTAGTTTAAAAAATTGATAAATATGAGTAATAAGATAAATTAAAATAGCACAGACCAAAACCAATTCATTACGTAGTTTTTATATTTATGATAAAAAAACTAATATGTAATGCAGTGGAGTCATAAATTATGCTCGTTGATCTCCTACGACCAATTAAAAAGGTGTTCTCAACAGATGAGAATCTCAAAGCATCCTCAAGGAAATAACAAGATGCGAGGTAATTGACACATGGGAATGTGATAAAAGGTATAATTGCTCATAACCTCTTGATGATTTCAATCGGAAATCCATCAACTTCTTCAAGATTTTATGTCTTTTTTTGCAGCTCAATATGACAAGCAAAATTCAGAGCCTTCGCACTAATAATAGCGTTGAATTTTCTAAGCCAAATTTTATGCATGCAAGGAAATAAGGCATAAACCAAATTCATCCAACATTTGCTTAACATCGCTCGTGCCTTACTGTTTGAGTCCAATTTACCTCAAGTTTTTGGGAAAATGATATTAAGGCCAAAAAAATAAATACAAAAATATCACTTAAAATTATCAAATAATTTCATATTTCAATAGACCTTATTATAAAAGATTTCACTTATTGAATTACTAAAGTGTCCTATTATTTTTCTTCATCCAATTTGTCCTCATTCGTTGCCTTTCTTTTCACTCTCATCACTCAATCCACTAACATGCTTTCATTGAAATCACTATCCCTTCAAACTTTTCAAAATGATACGCTTCTTCACAATCATTTTTCCATCAAAAACTCGAACTGCAAGTTTAACTGTCATTTAAAAAAGAAGCATGAGGAGTAAGGACGAACATGGAAGGGCAATTTTTATTTTTATTTTTTTTGGAAAAAAAATGAATGGGGAATGAAATGCTATGAGCAACGCGGTAAAAAGCAATGAGAAGTTACTTTTTAGGGAAAACCAAAAAAAAAAAAAAAAAGGTCCTGCTTTTGAGTATAAGTCAATCAACAAATACGAGAAATTATTAAAAGCAATGCCATGACTTTTCAAGTTTGCATCGTGCTTTTCCTTATTCTACTGACAAGCCAAACATGCGCTTAATAGTTCTACCTACACCTCCCCTTCCCTCTCTTGAACCAAACAAACCCTTGGTGTGCTCCATTAGGCACCCTTTATCCACTCTTATTTTTTCACATAAAAATTCTTCCACTTTAGGTAAGAATTGCCTTCTCTATTTCTACTTACACTAAACCCAGAAGAGCCTATCAGTCTATCACCAAGTTGCAAAAACTCAATTGAGTTTTGGGGGGGGGGGGGGACTATGGCCACTGAAACACAAGTCCTTTAACAGAATCTTGCTTGCCCTGGACTTTTACCCATCTACCTCCCAACAAACAACCCATTGGTGGCAAATGAGTGGAAAAATGACATTCAAAGTTGACGGATCCATAAAGCATTATAACGGAAGGCTTGTGCCAGAGGAAAACACATTACCCAAGATGATTAGTATGTCTTCTTGACACGGAAGCCCACATAGCAACTAAAATCAATCTTATTATCAACAAGGTGCGGAAGGTTCAAAAAAAGAAAATTTTTGGATAAAACGTTAGTTTTATTTGAACACCAATAAAAATATTACATAAAAAGACTAGTCGCATTTCATCAATTTGAGCAAAACTAAAATGAAGAACTAAATTCTTCATTCTAAACTTCTATTTGAATAGCATACATAATACATTATTAATAAGAAAATGAAAGAAGCCCAATTAACATAAACAGACCACCTAAATCCTAATTGATTTCTTTTGATTTTTTTTTTTTGGGCTAAACAGGGCACGTATCCTCTTAACAAAAACAATCAAGTTTGAGATATTATCAAATATTAAATGTCAGCATCTCACCTAATGAAGATTCAAACTCTGATTCACCAAGATTGTAAAAAACTAACTCCTTCTACTAAACCCAACCTCTATTAGTATTCCTCCCATTGATTGATTTCATGTAAAGTGATAAAAATTTTCCTTCAAGTTCATATCACTTCTATCCATTGTTTTCTTTGCTCGGCTCCGAGTTGCCCAAAGGTCTCTCGCTTGATTAGAGAAAAATTGATAATGAATTATTAGAAGGCACCGGTTCATTAAACTGTATGCCAGCAAAATCTCGTGGACCAATTTTTTTTTTTTAAAAAAAAAAATCTCCAATGGATAAACTTCTTAAACTCACAAGACGGTGGCTCACTGCCGGATGATCCATTTGCTTATAAGCGTCTAGTTGGCAGATTACTCTACCTCACTAGCACTAGACGTCTAGACCTGACCCTAGCTTCGTCCAATCAAAACTCAAAATAAAACAAAATGCTTGTTTGTTCCCATATCATATCAATATCAAAACTTCATTTTAATCACTACTCTCATTCCAATTCCTGTTTTTATCCTCCAGGATCTTCAAAAAGTATGGCAAGAGAAAGATACGAAGCCACATGAAACTGACCCGAGTCCCTCACCCAGAGAGCAATTCAGCATTGGATTTTTTTCTCATTACAATGGATTTTACCACTATGACCTGGTCTCCTTAGTATTGTAAGAGTTGGATGTTAATCTCTATAATTATGATAAAGTCATTGCCCATTAAAAATAATCTCTTTAAATCATTTAACTACTTTCAGCAAAAAATCGATGGAGAAAAATCCAAGTAATCAAAAATTTGAAAGAGGTCAATATCTATTGGCGTTTCTAACCCACCAATGTCCATTGGTTCTTTTCAGAAATCATTCAATTCATGAAATGTTTCATCACCTCAACGGAATAAACATGCTTAAAGGGCCTCAGGATGCTACTTTATGCACCAGGTCAATTCACAATTTCTATTCCAGTCAAAGGAAGTTCTGCGTGGAGTTGAAGAGCAACATCACCAACAACCTGCACTTGAACAATGAGCAAGCAGAGATCATATTAAAGGCTATCATTTCATTTCCTTTTCTTTTTTTCTTTTCCCCTTTTCTTCCAGTTTTTTTAATGTGTCTTGCAGGACTCAATTTCACAATATAATGCAGAAAACATCAAGAAGCAAAGAGATTTATTTTAAGATGGTGAAAATAAATTTTGTACCAATCAAGGCTTGGAGATGTACAAAAAAGTCATACCTTAGCCATGGATCTATAAGAATATTCTGTGACACCCGCAACATGAGGAGTGATAATAACATTCTTGTGTTTTAATATTGGATCGTCTGGGTCAAATGGCTCCGTCCAAGCTACATCTGTACCCAAGCCACCTAAATGACCTGACTCAAGGTGCTGAGCCACAGACTCATAATCTATTAGACCGCCTCTAGCAATATTCACCAGAAAAGCTCCCTGAATGAGTAAAGTATACATGTTAGATGTACAAGGGAAGAAACAGGCCGTATTAATGCAACGGCCAGGGACAAAACTTAATTCCACTTTCACAATGACTTGACAGGCCACGTTAGAGGTAAGGAAAAAACAAACAAAACATAACAAAACAAAAGGAAAGGAAAAAGCAAACAGTACCACACATAGAAGAAATTGAAGTTTAACGTCTTCCTTGTTAATTTCATGTCCCCCACCCAACAGCTCAAGTCTAATATAATCTCTTGGACTTGACATTCTTCAATATTGCAACCTTATCTCTTCGACTTCCTTTGGTACCACTACGGGTCCCCCCATCTCATTCAGAAGATCTCATGTGTTTCAAAAATGAAAAATTTTATCCCTATGTTTCATAGATTTCAGGGATATCGTTATGCTCTATCAAACAAATTGTTTACAACTAATCATTACTTTGCAGCTTAACGTGAATTCAGTGGTATCTCCACACCCCCCCCCCCGGGAGGGTGCATTACAATACATCGCATAAGCGGAGCTCTACCAAGCTATAACCCCCAAGCCAAGTGGAGAATGAGCTAAAGAGTGAGATGAGATCCTTCTATTCTTTTCCTTGGCGCAGCTGGGCCATCCTGGACCTGAACTAGAGACCTAGCCCATGAAATAAATCACCTCACCTACGGTCCAACCAAGTGGAAGAGAATCAATAGATTCCCTTTTGGGAGTGATTCATCCTTCCCGAATGCAGCTTACCACTCTCTATTGTACTGCACTCACCTAGCATGCTTGTTCTTTTAATAATTTTGGTCTCTGATATGTAGGGTATGTATGGATTGACGTTGGGCAAAACTGACTTCTAACTCAACTAACTTTTATAACTGAAGTTAGAGTAAAAGTCAGTTAGGGTATGTTTGGATAGGTGTTTTTAAAAAGTCAGTTGAAAAAGTTGAAAGTTGTTTGGATGATTAATAAAAAAGTTAGTTTAGTTATAAAATGACTGAAAAGGGCATAGACTTTATTGAATAGTAGTATTTGAAATTTTATGTTTTTAATGTGATAATAGTTTAAAAAATACGTAAAATTATTATGATAAAATATAAATAGTTTATTTGTCAAATTATAAAATAAAAATATTTGTTATGAAGAAAAATTTGAAACACATTGTAGATAATTAATTAAATATACATAATGGAAAACATGAATATAAATTAAAATTTATTTGGTCTAAATAAAAGCTTATTATGCTAATGAAGGAGATGAGACAGAGGAGAAAATGTGAGGCTAAATCTGGGATGCTCATTTTTAATAATCACTGTTTGAAACTGCAGTTTGAAAAGTCAAATTTTTCACCGTTGAGTCCAACTGAGGTTGAAAGCCAGAAATTGGTTGGAAAAGCTAGCCCAGCCAAATAATAGTTTTTGTCCAACTCAGTTTGCAACATCAGTTTCACAGATTCGAAGGCACAACTGTAGTTCCAAACTGCAATCCAAGCATGCCCGTAGTCTCTTTGAAGTCTAACACTTCTGATTAGTAAGATGAAAGTATCCCGACTTGTAGTAAGAAGTATCCCGGCTTCTAGTACTTACAAAACAAGATTGAATGGATATATCAAAAGCACCTTGGATTTATAATTTATCATCTTCATCGACTTGGTCCTCAAATCCATAAATATGGACATTCAAGCACTAACCCAATGTATTAAAAATTGCATGAGTCGACCCCCCTCTCTCAAACGTATTACAGCTAAAGTTAGAAGATTGCAACAAACAAAAAGAGCAAGTTTGACCAAGGCAGAACAGAAAGGGCACAACACAAAATGGAAAACAAATAAAGAGGTGTCAATCACCTGTCCAATGGACAAAAACAGGACTCAGAAAATTGGAATGAGTAGGGTTTTGAAAACCATCTGAAAAGTTATTTTCAGGGTCATGGAATGAGTAGGGTATTGAAAACCGTCTGAAAAGTATTTTTCAAGGACAAGGTTGCTTGTGGCTAGCATTGAAATTTGGTTTCACTCAAAGGAAATCAAACTACTAAAACCCCTCCTTCCCAAAATTTCTAGTAACTGAAAATGGTAGTGTAAACTTGAAAAAAAAATTATGCCATTCCCTTTTCAACTAAGAATGAAGATTATGAATTTAATGTAATCAAATATAACATCGACAAAACATGGAATGCCACTTTAATGTCAATTAACATATTTCCAAAGGAAATGAAGCAACCAAATAACCAGCAAGAATTCATGAAATAACTCACAATAATACAAAGTAAGGATGCACATACCCTTGCAACTATGTATATTATGAGTAGATTGACCGTATAAGAGACAGATAAGTAATAAATGATGGTCTGAGATAGTAACAAACCTTCTTCATCGAAGATATGAATTTGTTGTTTATAATGCCAACCTGAAATGCATCATATCGAAGTCAATAAGTATTCCAGTGAATCAGCTTTTCCATTACGAATAATATATACCATTCGTGCTAAGGAAATAAATGACACTAACTTAACATACCATCGATGCTTGAGCACATAAGGACTATTAGTCTATACTCTGTGTCAGCATATCTTTGGTAGTTAAAATAGTTAAGCATGGATCAGTTAGGTACTAACCTAACGCACCATTATTGCGATTGTAGAGAATATACTAATATTCCACATTCATGCAGTTCAGTTAAAAGACCCGAAGTAGCAAAGCCTTGGGTACAAATAACACTTGGTGCTATATTATTGTGTTTAAATGGTTTTTAAGCTCTTTTTTTTTTTTTTTTGAGTAAAAAAATGGTTTTTAAGCTTTAAAACCAAAACCTGGAATTATATGAAAAATGGAAAAACCCCAGGAAAGAAAGATTACCGATTCATAAAAATCACTTATGGTAGATGGCCCCAAAAATTCAACGAGTAACTAATAATCCCATTATATAGAAAAAAGTTATTACCATGCCTTTATGGGACAAATCATAGAGCACTATGATTTCATTAACTAATGAGATTAGCAAACGAATTGCAATTAGAATTCATACGACCAACGGCATGAGAGGACAGACACAGGTTCAAAGCAGAATGACAAGCAACAGCTGTAGCAAGGAGGAGAAGGCTGTAGAGAAAGGAGAGGGGGTAGGGAGGACACAACTAAGATATGCAAGCCATGACAAACTTGCCAACATATTTAAGCCCCCTAATCAATAAGAATAGAATAAAGAACATAAACTGTGTTTAATATAGAAGCAAACATAAGCAGAGTGGAAAGGGTTAGACCGTTTCGCTGTTCAATCTTAAGCAGCAAACGACAATGTCAGCTTCCTTTGCAAAGTCATATATATCTCCTTGATTACCCTTCAGATCGATGAGGTCACCAACATCATCTTGAACAAAGAATACAAAACATGTGAGAAAAAAGAAAGAACTGACTAGGGTATAGAGTAGTGAACATTCTAGATTCCACAACTTCAAGGAAGGTACTCACTACCATATGAAACCCAGCTCCGCTTCGTGGCAATAACTTTTACACCAAATGGTCGCAATCGCTTTGCTAAATCTATTCCAATGTTCCCAAAGCCAAAAATAAAAACCTACAGGATCAAGGAAAGACAATTTCCACAACCGGTATAAGAAATTATTGCTAATCTCAGTAACAAGGGAAAATACACCAAGAAAGAAAACAGATAGAAAAAATAGTACACTGTTCACACATTTCTTTTTCCCCCTTAGAGTGCTCTCTTTGACAATGCATTTCCACTTATTGTCTAAATGAAAAGAGTTATTAAATTCTTACCCTGAATATCAAGTTATATCACATACACAAAGTATTAGCATACGTGCTCAACAAAGCAGTATCTTATTTCATGCCCCAACTAGATGTTTCTTTGCCAGCTGTCTTATCTTCTCCCAAGTCTCAACATGGTATCCAAGCATCATTCTCACTTCCCAACCCTAAACCCTAGCCTAGATTCAAAGAAAGCCATGGACATTAAAGGCAGTGAACAACCTGAGTATATACATCTCCCGACTCCCATTCCTGATCTTCAATGTGCCATGGAAAGTTTTAGAAGTTATCAGACTAAAACTCATTTGCTTCTGTTTGTGGCAGGAGATCTTCAACCATCATACAATGTTTTGCATATTTTAGTATATACCCAATGTCGGTGGCCACAGAGAGATCCAACCAAAAGGTGACCTAGCCAGACTAAAGTTGATCTAGCCTTTGCTTTGTCCATTATTTTGTGGATTTCTACCTTAGCTCTTTCTTCAGTACCACATCCAGTCACTCTTTAATCAGATTAGAAACATCCATAGAGACCAATTCAAATGCAAAAGCAGCATAAAAAGGACTCGTAAGACAAATGCTGACATAGGCAGTGAAGTAAAGAAGGGCGCTAAATGCTAAGTTGCTTAATGTCATCTTCCTTTGCCCAGTGTAAGGAACTAGGCCCTTCTTTCAACTAACCTATAAACAGAAGGATGTTCATTCTTTTTAGTATGCATCAATTTTCATCCAATCGAGAAGAAGAATTTGATCCCTTGACTCCTAGTGCTTATTCATGTAAGCCATTCTTTTCCGTTGTGTCCGGTACTTTGGAATCCTGAGCAGGGAAAAGGAAGAACTTATGTTTTGTACACCTGAAGCCAAATTCCAAAGAATCATGATTCTCAAGAAACGGCCAGAATCCTCTTCCACATCGCCCAAGGTGGGGGGAAGCATTGGAACTGAGTGAACACCAAGGAATCAAGTTTTTCTTTCTTGTTTACCCTCTGCAAGCTTCAACTTTACCTCCTCCACTCAGCTTCCACCAACAATGACAATTTCTCCCCATCAACTGTAGCAACTTAACTTCAACTTCAACTTCACTTGCACACCCCCCCCCCAAAAAAAAAAAAAAAAGGAAAAGAAAGACAAGAAAAGAAAAGAGAAGGGGAAAAACGAAAGAAAAGAAAATTGATTGCAATTACATTTGTCCAGTTCAGGATCGCTTCCACCCTCCCCCTTCAACTTCAATCTACACTCCGGTAAACAGCAATGGCATTCTGTCTCAAATCTACTCTCTTCTTCTCCCCATCTTGATCCCTTCATGCTCCTTTGCCTTCACCCTTTCTTGGCCTAAAAACTTTCAATTTCTCATTCTCTCTTTTTCAGATTGTTTTGATTGTGGTTTTCATCAACCGAGCTGTGTATTGGTTGCTAAGTATTGCTGGATATTTGCTTTTTGGCCAGTGAAGAAGGCAGGCCTCCAACATGAGCACTCTGCTCTTGTGGTGATAATAGGTTTTATTTTCTTTAAGATAAGGGTATTTTAGTCTTTTCTCAATAAAAGTGTACATATCAAGCAAATATTAGATAAGAATTCCATCAAGTTCTTTTGACATGACAAACATGCTTCAAATTCAATTCCATTATGTTTCCTATTGCAATTCCTTCAAAAGTCTCTACAACACACGAAATGGTCCTTTAATTTTTACAAATTATTGTCCGTTTCTTTTCTTTCTTTCTTTTTTTTTCCCTTTTCTTTTTTGTGAAAGGATATAACTCATTCTCCTGATAGGGAAAGGTTTTCTTCAGATAAACCCAGTTGGAAACCAAAAGGCTCCCTCTAAGGTATAATCGTTTATCTGGTCTATATTATTGAATAGGATGGACAATATAAGAAGCAATGCAGGTTTGCATAGCTAAAACAGCCCTTTCTTAAGATATTTTACCGTGCGTAGGAATAGCTTAGAATCAGCAGTGCACCAGTTCTTAAACCGTACAACTGACATTGGCTGTGCATTTTAACACTGGAGGCTTCTGTTTCAAAAGGAGAGGCTGACGCATTGTGGTGAGGTACAGTATTCGCTACAATGGTGCATATGTAGTTGGAGACAAAGCTGAATTTTTAATTTGTCTTCCAAAAATGTGGGAAAGGATAGTTTCAAGTCCTCAATTCGGAGCGCTGATCATTGTTTCTCTAAGAAGATTGCCATGATGCCTACTTTTACAAAAATAATTTGTAATCTTTCATGCCAATTTTCCTTTTGAGGTTCTTTTTGGAAGATATCTTATTTTTCTATTTTGCAACATAATGCATCCTCAATAAAGATCATTTTTCTGGGGGAAAAACTAAAAATTAAACCAATTGACTTACTGTTTTTCCCTGTAATGTTTCACCAATTGGATCCCCAAGCTTCTTCTGTTTTATGGCAGTTCGCATTTCATTCTGCAATAACAATTTATTTGCGTTAGTCATCCATCAGTTTTTTTTTTAATCAGGAGAAAGTATAAAGGCCAAGTAATAAGGTAATCCACCATATACAAGATTACAGTTTGTTACATCATGGATCAAAATTAGACATAGAGAAACTTGCTCAACATCCCCATTAGAGAGTTTAACTACATAGTCCTCTCCTCTATTATGAAAAAATTGTACATTCCACCATCCAAACCAAAAGATGCCTCATAATAAATCCCACTTTGACCAAGTCCTATGTAGAAGCAAATTGTTGTTAGATAGGATAATAGCCAGGGCCTGGGAATGGGGAGTTTAAAAGGGAGCACTCAGTTAATTAGGCGGTTTATTGCCGGTTGAAGGGCAATGAAGGGTGCTTCAAGGAAATTTAGTATCTAAAAGCGTTTCCCTAGTTGGTAAATGGATTTAGCCTCTGATACCTGCTTTATGACATAGGATACAAGACTAAGCATCTAGCAGAATGGTTGGAGTCCTAGTCCAGGATTGTTGCTGCTTATTCAAGCCCTTGAAATTTTATTTCTCATGTACATCTCTCCTTTGCCGTATTGCTTTCTATGAATTAGAAGCTGGCATCCACTTTTACTTTTGGGATGATAATTGCATTGGTCATTGTTTTTTTTTTTTTTTTTTGGTTGAAATTTTTCCATGTGTTTATAGGCTATTTTCATTGAGAAATGCATCAATTTCTTAACGTTTTGATTAGGCAAAGAAACCATGCATCTTGAAATTTCAACTTTCTAGACATCTTAATGATAGAGTTGTAGATGATCTTGCTTTGTTGCAGGAAACAATTGTCTCCTTTCCTGTTTTCTCTTTAACCCTGATAGAAGGACTTGGAATTTGGACTCTTCAGGCTATTGTACTTGCTATTATTTTAAATGCATGATCCTTAACCCAAAGTCTCTATCTATCCCTTTGTCCGAGAAACCGTGGAAAGTGAACGGCCCTTGTAAGATACAGGTTTTGGTAAAGTAAAGCTGCCTAACATCATAGGAGTAGACTATTTCCAGATTTTCTGGCTATAAAATTTATTAGCTTTTGGTAGGCAAGAGAAGCCAAAAATTCTTTAGCAGTGTGCAAACTCAGGTAGTTTTTGGTGTCTTTGGTTGAAACAGAAAGTAAATGTTTAATTGAAGATTTCTTGCACATCATCTCCTTTGTAAGAGGATTATCTTCACCGCTTTGTGGGTTTTAGTTAATTGCATTTTAATAGGATTGTGCCTTGTTGCCTGTCGATTTCCAAAGGGAATGGAGGGATCTTTTGAGTTAAAATGTCGGGTGCTTTCTTTTGTTTAAGGAAGATCTCTTGTTCTTTGTTTATGTAACGTTTTGTACTACTCACTCTACTCATTAATAACTTTGTTTCTCCAACATAAAAACAAGATAATAACTATTAAGTCAAGTGCCTTTGTTAGACATGCAAACAACAATGAAGCTTTGTTGAAGAAACCTCAGTGCTTATAGGTGCTTGGGGCGCCTCTTGTGTAATGTCATGTTCTACGTTACTTTTATCAAGCATAGTGATTATAGGTGCTTGGGACTTCTCTTGTGTAATGTCATGTTCTGCGTTACTTTTATCAGGCACAGTGATTATGGGTGGGCAGGGCTTCTCTTGTTTAATGTCATGTTCTACACTACTTTTATCAGGCATCTAATCTACCCTTTCGGAATCTTCACTATTGTTCACTAATCCAAAACTGAAGACCTCATACTTGGCGGCGAAGGAGACCCAGCATTAGATATATGGCCATTTCTGCACACGAACTAGAATTTCCAGTACCATCACTAGGAATCCTAGCAACTTTAACTCCATGCTTGGTTGCAGCATCAATGTCAACACCTTTTAAAAAAAAACAAGTCACAAAAGAGCATAATGAATAAAAAGCAAAAGGAAAATCTAAATGTCATATAACAAAAAAGAAAGGCAATGATAAGATCTCCTAGAACCATTACTAAAGAAAATCAACTGACTCCAAACACAGTACCTTCCAGACCAACCCCATACTGCATAACAAGCCGCATGTTAACTGCACGAGAAATTATGTTTGAATCTAACCTCATGCTTTTTACTATGCACATGTGATAGTCAGCAATAGCCTTGGGCACATCATCCAAGGGGAGAACATCAACCTATACATGGAGAACCTCATTCTCATTACAATAAAGATCATAGCAATAGAGTTTTATTACTCTAGAAAGAAAGCATTAACCTAACACCTGAACCGTTTAAAGCAAACAAAAGAGTTAAAGTCAATTCTACAATAGAGCATGCAGTAGTGCAATACTCTTTGATTATTTAATAGGAAATCTATATTCAATTAAGAAAAAATTATAGTCAGAAGAAAATCAACTACCATCACAATGACAAGCATAAACAGATTGATTGGAGCTTCTGTTTTTACAGAAAAAGAAATGATACTGATGACAAGAAATACAATGGAACAGAGAAGGAAAAGCTAAAAAAGAAAAAAGAAACCGGCACAGCTTGCAAATCCCTCTACTTGACCAGCAGAAGTAACCTGAAGACTCTAGAAAAGTAAAAGCAGATCCGGAGAGCAAATCACTTCTTCAATTAAAAATTAAAATCAGAACCACGGATTGGCAAATTTATCTCAGAAAGTAACATTTACAAAGCTAAAACACGTTCTAATATTGAGCAAAATTATATAGAAAACTTGCCATTGAATCCTAACTCATTCTTGCTCACAGCTGCATTCTATAACAAAATAAACAAAAATATGTTGAACATACGATAAAACAATGATTAAATAAATCAAAACACATGCAATAATATTAAAGTACCTTGATAGATGAATGATTCTGCAAATACTCTCTTGTATAATCATGAGAAGCAGGAAAGTGGGGCCCACAAAACAAAACACGGGTGATACGGTTGTCAAGATCCTGGATCATGCTCCCATCTCCCTCCATAATATTCACACTAGAAAATTAAAATAGGTACCAAAGATTTAATAAGAATAAACATCATATAAATCCTTGAAAATTTTAAGTCAGACATTAGCATTTGTCTTTTTAACTTTCACATTTTTTCCTTATCTCAATTTGGAAGAGAAAGTATAGATCACAATAAAGTTGAGTACACAAAAACTAACATGTAGATACACAAAACAGAAGAATAGGATACCATGATCCATAGTAGAAAAGAAAAATATTTATACACAAGGATAAAACCACATAAGATCATCAATATATTATAATAAAATATAATGTGTTGATGAAATTAAATTTTATTTCAATTCCTTAAATTTTGAGTCAGTCTGTGCGATTAAATTTTGATGCCCCTACGATTAAGGGGCTTTTCTAGTTAGATAAAATGTGCTTAAAAACCAAATTGACCAATTCCAATAAAGAATCCATTCCCTTCTAGGAATATTGTAAACACGCCAACTTATTTAGTTTTATTCTATCACAGGACATGATGACCTGGAACGTCAGAAATGCTGTAGAGCCAAGTGAAAAGAATTAAAAAAAAACAAATATTGCAAGCTCATGTCTTACAGATAGTAGAGAACATCGGGAGGCGAAGCCACAATCTGTAGCACAATTATTTTCATGACGCAGAACCAAAAGGTAAATATATCATATACTTTCTTTCAACCAACGCAAACAACTTACATAGCCAATACAATCTTGGGGTGTTAAATGGTTTAGAGAAATGAAAATCTGTCACTATAAGAAGGATTCACTGATGAAATCAGCTTTCTCAGAACAAAAAATAGATTTAAGGACAACAATGTTTCGCTACCAAGGTACAATCATCTATCAGGCAGGAACAGGCAGGGTGCAATCAATATACACGAATAATTAAAAAAAAAAAATTTATGATAAAATTAAAGATTTAAAAAAAAAAAAAAATCAAAGCGTCACCGGGAAGCAAATTTTGCGGCGGAAGTAATGAATGAGCAACTTTGAATATTTGGCGCTAAGGAATGCTTAGGCCTCTTGAGCGAACGCAGGAACCGTTGAAAATTCATGCCCAGAAGCCAGAATCCGGCGAACCAAATTCGCTTTTGGGCCCTGGGTTATACTTATAACAGTGTTGTACAGGAGGGGCATTCATCAGGCGGCCTTCTGCGCATGGACACGTGAAATCTCTGATTAGTGCTGTGCAAAGTACTCCCTCCGATTCAAATTCAAAATATAAACTAAATATCAACAATAACTAAAATCAATTTAAAACGATAAATATATAAGATATATATTTGTTTTTCTAATATACTCCTATTAATAAAGAGAATAAGTAAAAAATCTAATAAGTAAATTAAAGAGAAAAGAGAATATAAGGAAGTAAAATTAGAAAAAACTTATTAAATGTTTGGATGAAAGTGAATGTGATCTTATAAAAAAATCAAAGAATAAATGAATTAAAGAGAAAAGAGAATATATGGGGGTAAAATTGAAAAAAAACTTACTAAATGGTTGGATGAAAGTGAATGTGATCTTATAAAAAAAATCAACTCATTTAAAAAAGTTTAGCTTATATTTTAAACCGAAGGAAATACTGGAAAAAAAACAAGGACAGACAGAAGAGGATGCGCTTTTGCCAGGCTTGTCTGGTATTCCTCCAATTCCTAACATTCCGCTCCTGAATATAAGGGAAAAAAATATGTTAAACTAAATATTTGTAATAAATAGATATTTTTTTTTAAATATTCATATTAATCAAGTACATTGGTTAGAACTTAGAACTATTATTGTTAGAATGACTGTTTTGGAAAAAAAATGTATAAATATGAGAGACAAAGCGGATTGAGGTTTTATATTTAGGACCAAAATAAATGTTAAATGAGGTCTTATACTAAGAAACTTGAGGTAGTAGAAACTTATTTTTATTTTGATTCTTAATATAACTCATATTTATCATATTTATCAATTTTTTTAAATTACTCTTATTAATACTCTCTTAACCATAATAAAATAGAAGAGAGAGAAAAAAGATATTAAGAAAGATGATTACAGTGTTATACATTAAATAGGTGTTATATTAAAAATAAGAGAAATAATACCTCCACATCTTTAATACAAAAGACTCAAGTTAATTAATTTAGGGTCCGCTTGGTTCAAAGAATCCATTAGAATGGAGAGAAATTGAAAGGAAGAGAGGAAAAAATTTCCAGCGAGTGAATGTTTGATTCACACCGAAATTGAAAATGGGTTTAATAAAAAAATTTATATTTAATTGAATGAAAATAGGTTGAGAAATTGACATATTTTATCATAATTTCCTTAATAAAAGAATATTATTAAATAAAAATGCTTTTTATAAAAAAGACAAAGCCATATAAATAAAAAAATGCTTTGGTATTCTCAAAATACCATACGTATATACATGAGAAGAGTTTTGTCTCGATTTATATAGAATGTATTTATAAGCATTTTTAATCAGTATTCCAAACAAGTCCATAATTATATAAACGTTGTTCAGTAAAAACGCACTAGCTCCATAAATGTCAATCTACATGTCACTTGATAGGGCAATTTTTCTAATTAAGACTATCTTTTATGAAAAAACTCTGTCACTCTCATATTCTTTCTCCGATTTTCCAAAATACTTTTGTCAAAATTTTCTCTTTTCACTTTATTATTATGATCCATCACTTCTCCATTTTAAATTGACTCTCTCCTCTCTTCTCTTTCCCTCTTCTCTTTCCTCATTCTTCATCAAATTTTTTCTCTCTCCTTATTCTTCTGTCCCCTTTGTTTCATGGGAGAATTTCAGTTGATCTTCTCCAAAGTGATTTAATTTTCACCAGTTTTCATAGGATTTTGAAACATCATTTCGGTCCTTTTGATCAAAATAAAATTAGAAGTTATGGATGAAAATACAATTATGCCTCTGTATTATTTTATTTAAAAAAAACAACCTTGTCAGAGTTTCGGTGACCCGCTGCCTGACTGTCTCCCTCAAGTAGAGCCAAGAAAACAGGCCAAGCCTGTTGGGCCGGCCCATTTAAGCCCGTTTAAGTTGAGGGCCGAGCTTATAATTTGGGGTCTTCAAAGAAAACTTGAACTTAAAAGAGCTAGCCCTGTAGGGCTGAAAAATAAAAAAGCTGGCCCATTTAAGCCTGCTAATAGTAATTTTTTCTTAATTTATATTTTTTCCTTAACCCTAACCTAAGTCCCTAACATTTTACATACTGTCCCTCTCTAAGTTTCACTCTCAGTCTTTCACTCACTCTCAGCTCATACCTCACTCTCTAATGATATTAAAATAAATAAAAATATATTCTCTATATCCTAAATCAAATTTCAAATTTGTATTTATTTGAACCAACAGTTATATATTAAAATAAACAAAATATATTCCCCATATTAAAAAAAAATTAATGATTGAATCAACAAATACGTATCAATTTGTATATATGTTATAAAATTTTAATAAATAAGTCAATACTTTTTCTATAGTGACTATATCAAAATTTTTACTCTATATTTAAATAGAGTTAGACAAGTGAGTTAGATAAAACCAAAAATGACCATCCTAAACAAAATAAAAAGCGGATGACATAGTTAGCTCATTAAAAGCATATTATGGAACAATCCAAAGTACCAAGATATTTCAGACTCCCATGAGACTATGCAGCAAAGTGATTTTCACAATTAAAGCCTGAGAAAAAAATATTACTTCTGATCCTAATTATAAGACCTCGTTTGTAGAAGCCTAAGAAAAAAATAATACCTCTGGTTCTAATTATAAGACCTCATTTATATAAACAAGGCCTTATAATTAAGACCAGAGGTAATAAGTAGACAACACAGAATCAATCCCTAGTGGTTACAAAGTTGAAACCTCTAAAACAAACTTAGCATTGATACTTTTAAATAAACTCACTGATGGGAAAAAAAATTCAATTAAAAAATATGGAAAAAAAATATTAGACTCTAGAATAGCTAAATAGTATTCAAAAGAAATCATTGATATTTTTAGAAGTTAAGAAGAGTCTATTATTAGTGAAGCACAATCAAATATTCTTATAATTGATGATAGTGATAAGAGTGTTTATCTACTTTTTTTTTTAGTGAAAGTGTTTGTCTACTTTTAATGGAATTTTTGGATGTTAATGTTATTGACTTGTTATGTCTAATAGATGTTTTAAATTTTTTGTATGTTGATAGACATTTAAATATAATGGTCTTTTGTATTTGTGACTTAATTTTATTCATATTTATATTTTTTTACTAGTAATTTCATTAGTTTATTTTCATTTTTTTGATAAAACATGTAAGAAATATGAAAAATGAAATTTTTTTTGAATAGGCCGAAAACTCACTGACTGTCCCTGAGCCTATTTGCTTAAGGACAGGACCTAGCAAATGGGGATATTTTTGAAATTTCGGCCCTATAGGGCTAGCCCTTTTAAGCCTATAGGCCCAGGCTGGGCCGTATTCCCAGTTCTACCCTCAAGGGGCCGGTTATCGAAGCTATTCAATTTTTTTCAAAATAAGGTAGCCTATAGGGATTTAAACCCATGACCCTTTAGCACACCAAAAAATTTATAACTACCAAGCTATTCAATTCATTTGGTTATATAATGCAAAAATAAATAAATATATATATATATATATAATATGGACAATGGCATTTAAAGACCCTTCAAATTATAAAATGTCAATTTGGGTTCTTGAAATCACATAGTTGCTAGGAGTGACCTAGTCTTAAATTGCAATTATGAAATCACGAGGAAAAGACTAAAATACCCAACTGCTTCTTATATAATCCTCCTTCCAAAATCCCGTGAAGTCCTATCCCTACACTTCCATTACTTCATTTGTTTCCCATTTTGGTCCTCTGGTTGAGGATTTGCCTCTGCTACCACCGTCTCCTCTACTCCACCCCCACCTTCCCCCACTTTTTGTGACAAGCTTGGAAGCTACGGGAAGCTTGCTGTTATTAGCAGTGTTGTTTATGAGATTGTTGAAGAGATTGGCGATGGAGTCAATAATGGATGACTCTGCAACTACCAGTATTACCCCGAGGTTAAGAAGCCCAAAAGCATTTTCAAGTTGGACTGGAATCTTCTTGCACCTAATGAAATCATGATCATCGTGCGGAATCCAATTTTGCCTTTCACCATAAAGACACTATCCTTGTCTTCTTGACGTATCCTCTGGTGTGAAAAGAGAAAGAAATCATGAGAAAAGAAGGCTACAAAGAAGATGCACAAACAAAATAGCACCAAGACCTGTTCTAGTGTTCTTGATGGTTATGGTTTTGCTAATTGGGTTGATTTTCAAGAGGTCTAGTATGGTCTAAGAATTGGGTTTTCGGCAATGTTGTTGCGTCTGTTGATTGCTTGTTAGGGAGGAAGAATGTTTCTTCTAAAGGGAAATTGATAGGGAGAGGATGACTCATAAAGGGATATTATTTTTTCTCTGCATCCTAATTCATCCTTCCTCTATTTCTTCTTCACCTTTCTCTTATCCAATGGGTGTTTCTTTCTTTCTTTCTTTATCATTCATCAGGATGATGAGTGATTGATTTCTTGTTAGGATTAAGGTTTTGATGATAACAAAGTAAGAAATTTGTGTTTTAGTATGTTGATCGATCATATGATTAATCAAGGACTTATCGATAAGCTGATAGATAATATCTCTGTACAATCAAGTAACTTAGCAGAAACTTTGATCAATAACTTGTTAGATAATGTGTTGATCGATCATTGTTAACTTAGTTATGTATAAAAGTCTAGAGTGAATTATTGATCACTTAATCAATAATCAAGATGATCGAACATCAATCAGATAAAGGAATACAAATCTGATAGGCATTTATCAATAACATGATATATAAACAGATTATCGATGAGAAGACAAATAAATGGTAATGCGCTCTACTCATTCTATGTTTTACTTTAGTTATCATTTATCGATCACTTTATCGATTAGTCATTTATTGATAATATGATCGAACATTGCTTCATAACACTCTCTGTGTGCAGGTACTTATTTCAATAGCTTGTCGATCACCTGGTCGATCAGCAAATTATCAATCACATGATCGATCATCGATACATCGCTCTTAG